AATACAGCTACTATACATTTTAATGTAGTAGAGTTATTTCAGAAAAATTCTACTTTCTTTCCATAAAATATCTGATTTTTGTTTGTCTAGCTTTACCTGTATAAAGTGAATTCCTTTCACATCTTGACAGAATATCTGAAGCAGTTCCTCATTAACAGTGTTGCATAGTCAAACAAATCTTGTATTCTAGCTGTCTCAGTTTCCAAGTACTCAATGCTGGAGTTGGTAGTTGCTACTTTATCTGTGCATGATTTCAAAAATCACTCATGTGTTCTTATATTTTGTTTTCTTAGCTCAGTAAAAAAAGGGGATAAAAATCAAAATATAGATGTTAATTTAGGAATAAAGCTGGGGGGGAAAAAAAAAAAAACACACACTAAATCTTACTAAGGAAAGACATGTCAGCATGGAACAGTGATTATAAACTTTAAATTAAAAAAAACATACCACAGAGAACTACTGAAAATGTCTTTCCTGTAAAGATGCTAAAAGCTGAGCACCATGCTACTGTGGGATGTGACCTACCATTTGACCAGACAAATGCAGTTGAATAAAAATCTAGAAAGCCAAATAGCAGAAACTTTGATTGCTCAGTAAGCAGTTGTGGGAACTGTGTACACTGCTTAATAAAACGTGCTGAATTGATACTTTAGCAGCAGAAGTTAAAAACATCATAATTGTTCCTTCTAATTTCAAACCATATTTGTAAAGGGGGAGGTAAAAAAAACCTTCTTGTTCATGAAGATGTTTTCCCTTGTCCTCCCATCCCATCCTCCTTTTACATTATTCCAGGTGCTCCTGTGTTTGCCCTTTTGCTGAAGATGCATAGCCAACCAACACATCTCTGTTATAGAACTAAATTTTGACATAGAGAAAAAAAGACTTAGCTAAAGGTTGTAGGCCTTTGACTTTTCTGGACTATAATGACCCACCACATAACAAATGTAAGTTGCTGAATGGATAGATTGATTAGAAATGGTCATTAACTATGGTATTTTAAAATGCCTAACTTCTGTCTGTGGCTCAGCCTCCTCTCAAAGAGCTGCACCATGTGGAAAATTGAGGCTGTTGCAGATAATAAATGTCATCCTCCCAATATAAAGAAGGTGGGGTTTTACACCTGCAAGTTTTGGCTTCAGACAGTTGTAGTGCAGTCGTAAGGTCAGCTTTGCTTCTGATTCCAAGATTGCTAAACTTGGCTAAATACTGCTCTCTTCTACTTCTGCAGTTCTCTGCCTTTGGATAGGCTGTAACAGAAGGGACAAGCTTGATTGTTACTTTCTTTTTCTCCTAAAATAATTTTATTTTTAAAATAAGGAATGGGTAGATGAATAATTAAACTGGTGGGATAATATCTAACTTGAATTCCTTTTGCATACTGCTGTGATTCATATGTAAAAGTCAGTCATTACAGTTTAAGCAGTTTTCTCTCTTGAAGGGAGGAGGTGTTGAGGAACAGTGGAACAGCTCAATCTCAGCGATTCAGCAAGCAAAAATTATGTAATGCCTCTTGTGCTGCTGGTGGCTATGCTTTCTCAAAAGATACATAAAGGTGGTGAAAAAATTAAATATGAAGAGACCCTATAGCAATTGTATCCAAATTTGGAATATATCCAATGTATGGGCTAAGAAATTTTTTCCTAATTTTTTCCTCATGTTTTATATTTGGTAACATAGTCACTGAGGTGATTTAAAATCTGGAGTAATCCACCTGCTTGGTCTTTTAGGAGCAGGAGTGTCTGGGATTTCTGCTATAAACCTCTGGGTAAGTTTAGATGCAACACTAATTCCTGCATTGGTTTCTCCATCTGATGGATACAGTCTTTAGAGAGAAACAGTACATCTTTCGGGTCCTTCAAAAATGCTTAAAGAAATGATAGCACAGTACAAAGAAGCCCTGGTTGGAATTACAGGTAATATGGTATTTTATTGTCTAGATCATTAATTCAGCTTCTCTAAGTTATACAAAACTATCATAGAAAATTGCTGAGAGTGCAGTTTTTAAGGGCTTGCATAGGGCACATGTCTAGGAGTCAGGATGTGCTGGCCAGTCTGCACTTGGGAGTTTATCTCCTCTGGGAGAGGTATTTATTTATCTATTAGATACATGGTAAAAACACTCTGCTACTTAGGGCCATTTATAATGTCCATGTTCCAACATTGAGACAAAATGCTGAATATACTAAATGCTTACTAACTCAGTGGCTCTCTCCATCTACCCAGCCCTCACGGGATTGCTATTCTAGGCTCTGGGGTGATGTCACCACGCAGTATTGCTGATGTGGTACAGTCCTGTGCCTTCAGCTGAAATTTAGTAGATGAAGCTTTCCTTAGGAATTCTTAACTTGTTCTGGTGGGCGTGGTTTTGCTACCTCTCCTACCACTAAAAGTAAAGAGAAGTCTGACATCTTTCATGCAAGAGCCATTCCTCTTTTCTTTTTTGAAATGGGCCCAAGCTGCCATGGAACTGAGTGAAACACCTCATGTTCTTGCTCCCTGCCTGAAAAACCTGGGGAAGACTGCAGAGGATCATTTGTTTCATTCACAGAGCAGAAAAGTAATCTTTTTCCCAGAAAGAATATACCTGTTGTGAGTCATTAAATTAGGAACTACAGAACCTGCACAGAAAACATAGGAAGTGTCAGGCAGCTGTGTTAGAAGCAGCTTCCAGCCTGCTCTACCCATGCAATAACCATGTTTTTTCAATATTGCTATGCTATATTCACCACAATGGCATTAAAGACAATGTGGCAGGCCCTACAATAAATAGCCCCGTTCTTATCCATATGCTATACCTGAGAGCCAGATGATTGTGAGCTTTTCAGACTCAACAAGCTGTTTATCCAGTCATTTGAGAGAGAAGGGAAAGCAACGCCAATGCTGAACTCTAGGGAATCCACCTAAAATTTTAAGTTAACTGCCTGTCATTGTTCCCTACAGATTCACAGCTTTTCCTGGGCTCCCAAAGCCACACTGCTCACAACACGTAAGTTGAGAGAACCTATTTTTATTGTACAGAACAGGGAGGTGGAAGCTTTGCACTAATTGCAAACCAGGACTTAGAATCATCAGAGGAGCTATGACCAGCTCCTGCATAAGGCTTACATAAGTGGTGAGTCATGCAGTCTTACAAAAGAATAGGGAGAAAGGCTTTCATTATGTTGTTTGCCTAATCAGAAATATGAAAATAAAAGAACACAGCACTCAGTGGGTTATGTTTGGCTATCTGTAGGCTGAAATTTCTGCAGTTGCACTACGATAGAGACATTTTGTTGTTTGTAGTCCCAGCTTATATTAAACAGAGAGGATTTTTTTCATAAATCTTTGCCTCTGGGGCAGAGTTAAGATTCTTTAGGAACCCTAGTTATGTGTTCCCAGACATTAATGTCTGGAAGCAGCACCATGAGAGTAAAAATGAAAGTATATGCCTAGAGAGGATACTGGGAGTAAATGAAGAGACCCAAGGGCAGGGTAGGGTTTGTGAGGATGAGAATGTGAAGAAGCAGTGAAGTGGAAGCAAAGCTTTTTAGGTTGACTGAAAAACAGTGTAGTGATCATTTCTCCTGTCTTACTAGTCTTTTTCCAAGCTCTTAGGCAGGTAGCTGAATGGGTAGTATTTTATCCAGCACTGTTGTTAGACATTACCTGAGATACCTGCAGCTCTTTCAAGACAACTGGAGAATTTTGAGGATCAAAGTTGGCTGAAGCTCTATGTGCAGCAACAGTGCTCTTTACACTGGTCTGGTTAACCCACCATTTTCCTTCACTAGTCTTTTGCACTTCATGGGGCAAAAATTCGGGACTGCGTGGAGCTGTGGCCTCTTTCTCCCCACCTTATTCTCCTATAGGTCCGCCTGGTTGCTCAGTGCAAACCCTGTCTAACATCGTGTGGCTAAGCAGAGGAGCCAGTAGACATTTTTATCTGCCCCACAAAATACTTCCCAATACTTTTCTGCCTGGAAGAACACAGCAGAATGTGGCACAAGAACAGGCACTGCTGCACCAACCATCAGGAAGGTCTATTTGCTCCTCTGTAAGTTGCCAGACTGCCTTGCAAAGGACGACTCTGCAGGATCCTTTGGGCTGGGGTTGGTTCGTTTGGGTTGGTTTTCCGTTTTAGTATTTAGTATAAGGTGGAATCCCTTTCATCAACTAGTGGGTGGGAAAAAAGGCAAATTATTGAAAGCTAGTTGACTCTGGGAAGTAAGCCTTAAAATAGCTCGTCAGAATGTGTATTCCTGCCCCTATCCCTGAATACTTCTAAGCCTGGCTGTTCTTGCTGCACTGCGCTAGCAGAACTCCGGATTCTGTCCTTAAAGCCTGCTCCCCTTGGGCAGTTGTAGGGCCGAGTTTGAGCCTGGGGAACTGCAGCCTCCGTCCTGTAGCCCGGCCAAGCCCCGGCACCGGGGCCGCACCAGCGGCGATCCCGCGGGCCGTGGGCCGGGAAGGTGCCGGGGATCCCGGGCATTCCGCAGGCAGGGAAGTACAGAAGCTCACGCCCAGGTCCCAGTATACTTTTTATGGCTACGGCAACGACGGGAAACATCACCTGGGCTCAACAATCTCCAAATCAGCCTTTTGTGGCTGGAAAAAAAAAAAAAAAAAAAAAAAAAAGAAAGACGGTCGGTTGAAAGGATAGGGGTTTCGCAAGTGCGGTGTTCTTCGCTGACACCTGGCCCTTTCCCCGGCAGCCCGAGCCCCGAGGCGGCCCGGCGGCCGCTCCGATGCCATGCCAAGGAGCGCACGGCGATGCCCCATTGAGCCCTTAAGCGCCGCTGATGGCCCGGGCGCGGCGCGGCCTCCCCTGCCCGGGGCCTTCGGCCCTCGGGGCCGCGCGCCCCGACCGGCGCTCGGCGCTCTCGCCCGGCCGCGCCC